ATTGTGTGGAATATTTTGAGGAGAATTGGTATTAGCTGTACTTTGAATTTCTGGTAGAATTCTACACTGAAGCCATCTGTCCCTGGGCTTTTTTTTTGGTTGGGAGACTTCTAATGACTGCTTCAATTTCATTAGAGGTTATAGGTCTATTTAATTTGCTTATCTGTTCTTGATTTAATTTTGGAAAGTGAAATCTGTCCAGAAAATTGTCCATTTCCTTTAGATTTTCAAATTTTGAGGAATATAGGTTTTCAAACCTTTATCCAAACTTACCAAACAACAAAGAGTGAACATGCAAATTAATAAAATCAGGAAGGAAAAGGGGGTCATAACAACAGACACAGAGGAAATCCAGAGAATCATCAGGTCATAGTTTGAAGATTGCATATTCCCTAGAAGAAGGGGATGGGGACAAGAATTCATGATCAAACTGGGAGCCCGGGAGGGGGAGAGGAAGGAGGTAGGAAGGGAAGAAATGGAGGGGGAGGAGAACAAGAGGACTGAGGCAGGGGAGGAATAGAGGAGGTCAAGACAGGAGATGCCTTGATAGAGGGAGATAGTACAGGTTTGGAGAGAGGTCTGGCACAGGGAAAATGTTAGGGGATTCACAGGAATGACCCCGACTAATAAGTTAGGCAGTGGTGGAGAAGGTGCCATTGATGCCCTTCCCCTATAATGAGATTGATGCCTACCTTTGTTACCATTCCTAGAGCCTTCATCCTGTTGCTGTTTGAAACAGATACAGGCACCCACAGCTAAGCACTGAACCATACTCCTGGAATCCAGTTGTGGAGAGGGAGGAGGGATGAGCAAAGGAGCCAAGTCAGTGCTGCAGAAACCTGCAGAAACAGTGGACCTGACATACTGATAGCATGGAGGTCCTAGTCATAAAGCTGGTGAAACAGCATTGGACTGAAACAAGCACTCTGAATGTGGGTGCCAGCTAGGAGGCCAAGACAGTCTACAGGACCTCTAACAGTGGAGCCAGTCTTTATCCCTAGAGCACAATGGACTTTGGGAACCCATTCCCTATGGAGGGATACTATTGCAGCCCAGATACAGCAAGGAGGGCCTAGTCCCTCTCCCAAACGATATGATGGACTTTGAAGGTCCCCCAAGGAGGGCCTCACTATCCCTTTGGAGGAGTCGGGGGGGTTGGTGAGGAATATAGGAGGATGGGAGGGCAAGGGAATGGGGAGATGGATATGTAAGCATGAGTAGTAATTAAAGAATAGAAAAACAAACAAAAATTTTAGATACCTCCATGTAATGATGTAATTTGTAACCTCAACGTGTTGATGATTCCTCAGAAATTTACAGGACCTCCTGTCGTAGTTCAGAACTTATCCCTAGCACAGGTGTGGACTTTGGGAGTCCATTCCAGATAGAGGAATACTCCCTGAGCCAAGACACACGGGAGTGGGCCTAGGCCCTATCCCAAAGGATACGATAGACTCTGATGACACCCTATAGAAGGCCTCACCATCCAGGGGGAGCAGAAAGGGTATGGGATAGGTAGGGTTTTAGTTGGGAGGGTGGTAGGGGAGGACAGGAGGGAGAGGGAACTGTGATTTTCATGTAAAACAATTTTGTTTCTAATTCAAATAAAAAACTCTGCAAAAAAAGAATTAAAAAAATAGTTGATGATTCTACATGGAGCACTTTCCTTTGTGGGAAAGTAGTGGGAAATACATGGAGAAACTGGGAAAAGTTGTAAGAAGTGAGTTGTATAGTATAGGCTATTAAGACATAATTCACGAAAGAATAATACATTCACTGTGAGTTTGCAGGTGCCTGAAGGTTTTGTCGCATATGTATATGGTATTCATGGGTACATATGTGAGTGGAAATGCAAAAATAGACAAAAGCTTGGATGTAGAAATAAACAAGCAACATGATTATTTATACACAATAGAATTTAACTGTGGCCATAGTTTGCTCTAATTATTCCAAAATTGAGAATTGATACAATAAATATGAATCAGCATATTTAACAGTCCTCATAAATACTTTAAAATGATAACTTACTATATATTTTAGGATAAGATTTTAACATATATAGGTGTGTTTGAATCCTGCAAGAAAGGTAAAACAAGTGTCATTCTCATCATATAGCTGAGGAAGTTGAGGTTCTGTGTTTACGGGACTCGACTAAAGTTCCATAACTATTAATAGAGACTGGTTAGCATGCAGGTGTCCTGGTTTCCAGTCTTGTGTCCTTCACTGCACTGTGCTGATTTGGCTAAAGCAGAAATGTAGAAAATGAGACATGATACCGTTTGACAAATATATTTGATATTTTTCTCAAGGAAAAGAAAACAATATAGAACAAAAGTATAGGTACTGCTATTTTTCAGATATGTTCATCAGAAATCAATGAGTTCCAGTTATTTCTGATCCTTAGAGGTGTCTCTTCATTGTGTACTTTTTATTTCCCCAGGGGGTGTAGTAGTAGAAGTGAACTAGAAATAGCTCACGTGTGGCAGATTCAGACAGAACTCCACTCACAGTTTTCCTTTTTTTCCATCTCTATTATCATTTATTTCCTCTGAGGTAATGTGAGGTTTTGAAATTCAGGGTTAAGAACAGAAAGATCTTCCAGAAAACTTTGCCAATGAACATCATATTTTAGACATAACAAAGCTATTTTCAATGGTTTGTTTTAAGAACAAAGCTTCTGCTATAATATAAAAATCACTGCAAATAAATGCTATTACTTTCAACATGTTAATAAAAAGCAGAAAGTATAAAACAACAATAAATCTCATAATTAACTATAAATGTATATAATAGAACAAGGTTAATAAATGGGAATGCCAGTTGTCTTACTCATTAAGGAAGAATTATATTTTGGGTCAGGATTGAATTCCTAATAGGAACCCTCAATGAGCAAGAAAAACATCATTCTCTTTTGGGGGTTTGAGTCAAGCAAGGGTAGAAGAGAATTGGAGACAAGTTGCCTTTTGATCATATTTACTTTCCTTAATTTCCAGGTTGTAAATTGCATGCAGCCTGAGGAGCTATTTGGCTGAATATTGGTCTGTTCTAGCACTTGAACATTTTCTTCTGGAATATAGGGCCCTACTTTGCCTCGATGGTTAACACTACAAAGGAAAAGGCTGACAGTACATTTCTGTAGCTTCTGGGTCATCTCCAAGTCTCATCTGATGGCATGCATGTAAAGGCACATGTTGGGATGATTGATGACTATTTGCTGATTTTAAAACTATATTTAAAAGCTGGACTCAAAATTCTAGTTTATATCCTTTGTAACTCCTTTCATTTGAAGAGGAAAAATCTTGATTTCATATTGAGTTTTATAGTTTAGAACCACAAATATTTTCCACCTTCTGGTGAATAGAAAAAAATCTATGGGTTAGTTCACAGTGATAAACTGAATGTTGAACACTTTAAATATTGAATGATAGGATTTGTAAATGAGATATATTTAATAATTTCCAAATTATAAATGGGAAACTTTATTTTTAAATTGTGATTTAGAAAAATACTTGTTAGGCAAATTCTTTTCATTGTTCTGCACTGGAGATGGGTCTGAATTATTCTTTACATATTTCTTCTCCTTTCTCTGGCAAGGAAGCTTTCTTCTTGGGTATGTAAGTCATACTGGACAAAGAATGCTTTCTAAATGTAGAGAGTCTTCTCCTAAAATTTCCGCCTGAAAAGAAATATAGGAGAGGGTCAAAGCAACAGTTCAATGCAGCTAGAGATAAGGTTATGCCCACTGACTTCTGCATCCTGAGTACAGAATCACAGGGTCTATTTTCACTGTGTAGAAAGTGAAGGTGGATAGTTCGTTGAATATGATATGGCATGAAGCTAATTAAAAAGGCAGCTGTCACAACTATGATCATTCCTATAGCTTTTCTACGACTTGGCAGATTTTTCTTCATTGAATTTTTTAGTAAGGTCAGAATGATCATTGTGTAACAGACAATTATGATGACAAAAGGGATAATGAAGCCAAAGAATAATGACACATAATGCAAGACCAAGACATATTTTTTACCTTGAGTGTCCTGTGGAGGCTCAAAGCATTTAGTATTGTTTTTGCCATCTTGGTAAGATTTGGACATTAAAAATGGAGAACTAGTCAGAATGACAAAAATCCAAATTCCAATACACACAAACCTGGCCTTTTTCTGTGTAACCAAATTAATGTTCTGGACTGGAAAAACAATTGCAACACATCGAAAAAAGCTCATGGCTGTCATAAAAAAGATGCTACAATAGAGGTTAACATACAAGGCATAGGTGGTGAGGCGGCACAAAAAGTCACCAAAGAGCCACTTGCCTTTGTGAACATAATAGACCACACGGAGAGGTAATGTGCATACACACAGTAGATCTGCTATGGCTAGATTAATCATGTATACTTGGAAGGCTGATTTCTCATGATATGTTTTTATGAGGACATAGAGCACAAAGCCATTGCCAAAGAAACCCACAACAGAGATCATAGAATACATTGTGGAGTACACTTGATTGCGGAACTCGTCGATCGTATCATGGCATATGTTATTACTGGCAGAAGATACTGTCAGATTTTCAGCTCCATCCATGTTCTCCAGGAATGCCTGCTTTGTGCCTACAACATATGAAAAATATCTTGTCAATTCAACTAGACCTTTAAACTGTTGTGCACATCAATTCATTTCCCAGCATCTCTATACTTTTTCTGTGTAATTAAAATATTGAATAGATTTTATTATTCTTTGAAAATTTCATACATACATGCAGTGTGTTTTGATCATGCCCAACCTCCACTTCACCCTCCAAGCCCCTCTCAGCACTGTTCCCTTCAAACTTCATGTTCATTCTCTCTCTCTTTCTCTTTTTTAAAAAAATAACCCGTGGAGTCCAATTAGTGCTGCTCACGTGCACATCCACCACAGCTGGAAGCAATTGTCAGGTTATGAGGAGAGAGTCAGTTGAACTTTGCCCCCAGAAGGAAGGCTGGGTCCGCCAGACATGAAGAAATCTTTTTCCTCCTTTCTCATTTATGTACCCTGATAGAATTCTTAATTCCCAAGACCTAGGTAAAATATCCCCCTCATATTGTAGATTGTACTGCTGCAGTACTATTTCATAAAATTTCCCTTCAAATGAATTTGTGGTTTTTACTTACAGAAACAACTTTAAATATACCAGTTTTACATATATGAGTGTTTATGTATGTATCCATTATCATCAACCATCATCATCTAATTACCAATGTATTGCTTTATAAGAGCTTTAAGTTCGGTTAGTTGCCAAAATCTGCACAAAATTCTTGATTTTCTCTAAAAGAGAACCAGGTAACATCTTCTGGATGCAGGTCAGACCCAAGGAAAATGATTTAGTTCATGTTGGCGAAACTCACTCCTGTAGGAGAGATTCTTAATCTGGGATTAACTGTTTAGAACCATAGAACACCACAGCAGGAGAAACATAGTGGTCATAAAGTTATAATAACGAGGAGAAAAAAGTTCCAGAGAGATGAAATTTACAGTTGAAAAATCTATACATAATTTAAGGCTCTGAGGAAAGATGTGGTGTAATTAGTCTGAATGCACTTGTCGGGTGAGGAAATTGTTGTAGTTGCTCATTCTTGTTCTCTTCTCAGACTTGTATTCAAAGCTTTGAGTTTAACCATACACAGTTCTTTCATATCAAAAGATTGTTATTTGGTCTATGTAATGGCATTCTGGCAGCTAACAACCTGATTAGCAACAGCTATCGATGAGATAGTGTAGACCTAGTCATTTCTTCAGTGTTCTTTTGCATACTTATCAAAGAGGAAGCAATTCAATATTTAGTCTCTTATTGATTTGTTGACTTTTATATAGCTCATGCCCCCTGGTAAACAAGGTGTCTGGAAGAATGCTCGAGAATTTAAGAGCTACTAGTGCGGAATAGAATGGGTCTTGTCTACATAGCGGAGATATGGGAACAGGCGGCTCTGGTAGTTATCTGTTCATGGTGTGTCATTTATCCATCTTCTCATTCCATCTATTTATATTTTTCTAGCATTTAAAATGTCATTTTCACCAAGAACTATTGATACAAGATTTTTAACAAGGAAGAGGAATAATTCTAGGGCTACAGAGAATAACCAGCCCACCATTCCTAATGTCTGCGTCAGTTTTCAATTTGTGCTCCAGGTTTCTTTTCCTGTTGGTTCCCTGAATTCGGGTAAAGGAAAGGAAACTTCCCCAAAGTAATCCAATCTTTTTTGTTGATACTGTTTTAGGTATTTTCTTCAAATTGAGCCATTTTATGCTATGAGGCACTAGATGGTGCTATTGAGATTTTTGAGATAGCTTTCTCCTTTTTAGTTTTATTCACAATATTTGAGAAATCAACGTAGCACGCTTTTAAATATGTGTCTATAATACGATATACAACACCATGATTGATGATTTGATATCTGTATATACTGTGAAATGACTGCCATTAGGAAGTTAGTTAACAGCTCCCTCTCAAGCCCATCTTGAAAAGCTGACTCAGGAAGATGGTGGATTTGGAATCAGCTTGGGACACATAAGGAGACCTTGGTTCAATCAATACGCAGATCACATCAAAACCATACCCACCATCCCATTTCCATCCTGTTTTACTGTTCAGACTGAATCACACCTTCTCTCACTGTCCATCCAAAGACATTTCTATCTTTGTAGAACTCCTAGAGAATTTTCAGTCTGTCTTGCACATCAGTGATGTGTTATCTTCTCTTCCAGACCCCCTGGTTGATAAATAAAGCAGCATCTTATATGGGACCAGTTACTCATCTTTGTCCATAAAAGCTCAGTGTTAACTGGAATGATAAAAACCTTACCATTTGAAAGTACAGCTATCCATTTGAAACCACTTAGCGTGACCACACATTGCACTACAATTTAAAATCTTTTCAACCTTAGAGATTAAAGATGCTGATGTAGACAAATTGCTTCCTAAAGTACTAAGATACCAAATTATAAAGCTTAATTATAAGGGTTAAAATACCCATACTGTGTATACACAAATTATTTGTCCATTGCACATTACAAAAAGTTTGAAATTCTCAGCTGCTCTAACAAAAGATGCCAAATAGAGCTGATAACAAGAGTACACAAAGAAATGAATGTCATCCAATTCCATTAATAACCATCAGAGCTCTTTGAAACAGAATAAACTTCTTTATAAATTCAGTATTCTGGCTTGATTTTTATTTATCCACAAATCAAACCAATTATTTACATTAAGCCATAAAAAGAAAATTGTGGAATCTTCAAGCAAGGGGCAGAGATCATTTAGTGTAAAGTAGCCATTTCACATATAATGTCATAAAATGTCTGAGCAGTGTTTAATTAGGTTTTGTATAATTTACTGTGATTTTCCTAATGATCTGACACCCTAGGCAATGGATACAGAAAGTTCCTTTGGAAGTCTATGATTTCGTAAGACCCAAGTCCTGTCTTCAAAAGCTCACAGTTGGGGAAGGAAGTGGGTGCTGAGGAGTAATAACTCACTTGTTTGGAGAGGTTGTGAGAAGTCTAGTAAAAGCCACCTTAGCACAAAGCAAATGAACCACGAATTGATTAATGGAAGAAAGCAGTAAGCACAAATGTTGTGCACTTTATTTCAGTACAGATGATGAGGAACATCACTTCCCTGAGAAAATTGCGAATTGAACAGGGTTCATTCTGAAACTGGAGCCATACCTCTTTCTAGCACCGCAGTACCTTCACAAAGTTTCCTTCTTACTGTGGCAACTGTTCTTATGTTGCAACGTCAGAGTACGCTCAAGCTGAAATCATAGATTACAAAGAGGAGTTAGTGACCTCAAAAGCAGTCCAGAAGGGTCATGGGAACTTAGTAGCCTTAAGTACAGGTCCAGAGTGTGATGGCACATCAAAGCTACACTGACAGATTTAGGGCTGCCCATTGGCTTTCATGGCTCCTTGTTTTCCCTTCATCCTTTTTTACATTCCCAAGGGGAGGGGGACTTGGAATGAGTGGTTACAGATGTTTGCATTCACCTTTTGCACCTAAAGATGAACATCATTTTATACAATATTTCTTCCTATGAAATCATATTTTCTCTACAAAGATTTAATTATAAAGTTCAAAGAGGGAATAATTTGAAAATTCTCATCCAATGACTTAGTTTGCTAGGAAAAGGAGTTAGAATATTAAACAAAATTTTCTTAATTTGTTTGGAGCATAATGTTTGAAAGAAGAATGGCTTAATGGAGCTTGAACTATCTCCTCAGACTCATAACAGTACTCGTTGAATTTGTCACTGTCTTCACATGTATACTCCTGGAGAGCAAAAAGAGTCTTGAATACTTGAACTTTAAGGGTGTGTGTCCTTTCAACAAAATTACTGTTGTGAATCACAGAGCTACAACAAATAAACTAATAAAGAAAGGCTTTCCCGAGGCAGTAGCACCCTGACACTTCTCAATCTTTGTTGTGTTATAGCGACCCTCATTCTTGTCTGCCAGTAAGATTCCCCAGAGGCTGCCACTTTTTCTTTATGTGTGGTCCCAGTGTTAATAAAATAAACACCTTCCAGTTTTATTTTTATAAAGTAGGCACAGGCTGGAACTTTCCAAAGGAAATCTACTGACAAAAATGCAAGTAAAAAAATGGAAGTAAAAAAGAAAATAAAGGAAATTCAAAGATATAAAATATGTTCACCCTGTACTTAGGCAACCACTTTTCAGAGCGTCTCCAGCTTCTTCTCCCTTTTCCATTGTTCTCCTTTCTCCAGGTAAGGAGTCAATCCTCGGAACTTGCTATAGTCTGGGTCAAGTGTCTGTTGCTAATTGAGAATTACTCGGAGTTGGCTTTAAAATTTTGTTAATCAGGCAGTAACTTTTTTTTTCCGTATTTGCTTTTCAGATATCTTAACACACTAATAAAGATACACTAAATGAATTTTAAACATATAAAATATTTTCCATCATAAAATTATGTGATTCCACTCATCTGATCTAGAAAGAAAATTAATTTTGGCACTATCTTAGATTTTTGTTTAAACAATAGTAGAGTTTCTCCTTAGACTGCTGTAAAAAGAAAGCTTATGAATTTCTAAAATGCACATATGAGAAGCATAATCTTAAAAATTTAGCACACTAAGGAGTTATTCATTTCTGTGGTGATTATGCAATTATAATCTAGCCTAACATTTATATGCACAAATGAGTAAGTGTCACATTGTCTGGAACATAGTGTAGTTTTTTTTTCCCTCAAGTTCACAATTGTGAGGTAATCCGTGTTCCTTTGAATCCCACAATTTAAAGGAACTGGAATTGCCTCACAATTCTTTGCTCTGCATATAGCAGTCATTTGGTACTCAGTGACCCCACAACCTGCCACTCTTTTCCTTTTAGTTTGCTTGCAGACTCCTGTTTCTGATAGCAGCTTCTGCCAATATTAGATGCTTCCATTTTTAACCACATGCAGGAGAGGTGTTGAAGTAAAAGAGTAATTATGTGATTTTTGTGTGTATATGTGTGTGCTGGGTATTAAACCCAGGCCCTTACCAATGTTAGGCACATATTATACCAGCAACTTCACCGACAATTTCTCTCCCTCTCCCTCCCTCCCTCTCTCTCTGTCTCTC